CATCGAGGACCCATTGAAAATGCTATAAAAAAAAGCAAAGGACATACCTCGTGCTCAAACACTGACGTACAAACCACGTCAACGATCGACCAGAGTGCCACTGGTCACAACCTATCACCCTAGGTTACCACCACTAAGGGCTATAATTCAGAAACATATGCCCATCCTACAGACCCTGTCTCTTATACACATCTAGATGTGTATAAGAGACAGGGTTCATTCGGCGCTTTAGTGATAATCCGTGCAACACCACAGATTCCGTTGTTCTAATTAACTGTCAGCTTTCCGAAAGAGAAACCAAACATCATTCCCAGGGACTCAAATTCAATCCTAAAAAATGCAGTTCGACCCACAACAACTATTTTTTCGACGGCAACACCACGATTAACACATTCAATATAAAAGTACCTGGATTCCACCTCAGAATCGTTGCTCAGTTTTAGAAACTTTCATTCAGGCTATTGAAAAGGACGTGAAAACTTCGCTCCTAGTCCAGATTGCCTCGACAATCTCACAAAAAATGACAGGCAGGCCATTGCCAATTTGCGTCAGCGTGATGAAAATGTCGTTATGGGCATTAAACTCCATAAAGAGGAGTCCTTAGGAAAACTAAACGATCCTCTTCACTATCGTAAACTCACAGAGAGAGGTCCACTCCAAAAATTTCTAAGTAAAAATTCTGTATTAAAGATGGTTAAAGGGTTCCATCGGTCCCAAAATTGGACCCTGTCTTATCCAGGTCGATCCGGTGTAGCACGACTTTGAGTTCCGTGCTAATTTTAGTATTTCGTGGTCTGGATTATCAGAGTCTATGGGACACAAATTTGCTACATTTTCTTCTGGGGTAAACAATTATTATAATAATTGTTTACCCCAAAAGAAAGTGTTGAAAATTATAAAAAAAATTATATGTCTATGTATTCATTAAAAAAATAAAGTAACTAAATTTACACCATCGAGCATGTACTTCATGTATGTTCAACTTAACTTCAGAGATTATTAATCATCAAGCATAAACAATCAGTAAAAAGTATGTAAAAGCTAATTTACGTTGAAAAAAATCACAAGTCACTTTATCAGCGGTATAAGATGAACATTGTATTGACTGGCAGTTCGTTGGTGGAGTTATTCGAAGCCTTCGATTGGGAAACCTTGTCTCTGCGCTCAACTGTTAATTCGCCAACATGTCCTGTAACGCTATTCATTGTTTTTACCTTAAATTTGCCTGTAGTGTATATGTAAACATACAGCTTCCTTAGCAAATGCTTAATATCAATTCAGGGGTTTTGTATTGAAAATCCTAGGTTCCCTGGCGCGAAGTTTGCTTTTGCAATCAAAATGAAGTTCATTGCTTAAGCCAAATTCGAAACCCCATTTGCATTTGCATATAAATGTATACGAATTGACTGCATTTGACTTTAGTTGATAGCGCAGGCGACGAGGGAAACAGAACGCCCTGATGTGATGTACTGTATTAAAATTGAATTGCATAGAGCATTGTTGGTGACATTAATAATATTATTTTCAAACATTTCATAAACTATAGATCAGAGAATGAAATATACTTTTTACCTTTAAGTGCTAAATTGATGTTAATATACGCATACGGGTACATGTGTTATTGATTTTGAATCCCCGATGTTTTCCAAATCTGTCAGTTTACATCTCAAATTTGTCAGGACCAACTCAATCTAATGTTGTTTTTTAAATTTTCCTCCCCTATGGGAATTTGCTGAGGAGCTTCTTATTAGTCTCACGATGCAAACCCTGACTGGCGAACAGGCGGTAACAAAGACAATCTTCGCACTGCTGTTACAGCTGTGATAAGAATTATGTCAGCGTTGCAGTCTTTGTGGACCCGATTTGAAGCATTAGAATGACTAAAAAACATTCAAAATCGTATTTTGTTCTGCTTATTTTCAAGGTTTTTGTTCCAAATACAAGTTCACCCCATTAATAACAATCGGTCGTTGTTTCAAACAAAGGAAACATTTATTCACTGTACTATAAGTGTCATAAAATTAAAATGGAACTTGATTTATCGATGGTACCCGAATTTTCGTGACACCGGCACCAGGACGTTTCTACCCACTATCCACAAAGCATGCCATCCTGGCAGACCCATCATTTCAGGCAACGGTACTGCTACAGAAAAGTTTCTCAATATGTGGATGATTTTTTAAGACAATATGTTTTTGCTCTTCCCTCGTACATTCAGGATTCCACGGACTTTATCCGAAAAATTAACTAATTTTCAAATAACCTATTAATACTGTACTGGCTACATTTGATGTTTTGTCATTATATACTTTTTTGTTTATTAAGAAGGTGTTAATGCGTGTATTACAAATTACAGACAAAGTTGTGGCAAAACCCCATCTAAATCTGTTCTACGTGAACTAATTTTACTGAATATGACCAATAATAATTTTGTTTTCGGTGACGGTCATTATCTCCAAATGCATGGCACGGCGATGGGTACAAAAGTGGCTCCATTTTTTGCAAGTTTACTTTGGACAATTTGAGGCCAACTTCTTGCCCCTATAGCCCAAGCAACCACAATTTTGTGCATTTAAACTGGTGCACTTAAAACAGATCTATTGCGTATACCTATGGATAAATATATGTATCTACTCCCCAGAAACTGCCATCCCGCACTGTACCAAAAACGTTCTGTACAGCCATGCATTGCGCATCATGAGACGCATTGTTCTTAGGATTTAAATTTTTAGAATCGCACAGAAGAACTATTTGGACATCTCCGGAATAGAAATTATCACACTAGCTGATTCATCTGCTAAATAATTTATTTGTATATTTAAAGCATTACTGCAAGACATTTTCAAGTTCATCTCTATTATATCATGATTTATTTATAAAAAAAATAACTCTTCAGAGATCTCGTCTATTCGTGAAATGCTTATATAAAGAGGGCGTACCATATTGAGTTCTGTTATTTGCCATGCAGTTAGGACTAGTGTTGTTTAACGAAACATACGCGTGAGTGTAAAGGACTAGATGCTTTAATCGGATTTGAATTCCAAACAGAGCCTCAATTGTCTAGTTTATTATGGCGTCTACATAAACAGCAGAAGGTCCCGTGCACCTATTTTTTTTACACTAACAGATTCCTCTTCTTTAACAAGAAAATTTCGAATAAACGTCCCCTCAATAACCCAATCAATCCTGGGACTGTGGATGTTGGCATGATTTGAGGTGTGGGGTGGAATCACATTCTCCTTTAGTCAATATCAAAGTGAGGATATTTATCTTTGACAGAATGATGAGAGCTCCCTGGACAGACGTATTTCCAACTTTCTTCTTCTTTCATTTGTCTATAGCCCAGTCCTACTACTCCTTTTCCGACAATTTGCACCTTTAACACATTCTCATCTAAGTTTTCAAGAAAACCGGCAATGATCATGCCGTCCTGCTATTCTCAATCGACCGATGGCGAACAAGCTAACCACCACCACTAATTTCATCTGCTATTCTGCTGTTATGTAATACTGCACTCACAACATTCTTGTCGAGACAAGCCATGCTCTCTGGACGATTATCTTTTCCGCCGCAGCACCATTCGTAATTTGCGGTTTTCCTGATGTCCTTATTTAATCGTTTTTCATTCAAAATGTGCCTCTTGGATTTAATAAGTTCTCATAAGAACCCCTCGATTTTCATCTATTTCCATAAGCGCCCCTTCAATTTTCACTCTGTTTTTATAAGCGCCCCGTTCGAATAAGCGCCCCTCAAAAAATGCAAAAAATATTTTAAGAGCCCGGGCGATTATTCGCGCGTGTACGGTACTGCAAGACAGTTTAAATAGTTTATTTCTGTTATATCATGATCTCGAATAAGAGAATCGTATATTGTAAAGTTCTTTATTTCTTTCGCTTCCTTAATGTTCACGATATTCGCAATAAAATGATGATAGTGAAAATTTATGGCGCTCGAAAGGCGTGAAAATCTGGATGATGAGTTTTGTCTTTAAAGGCAAGGCTATAGGCCTAGCCTAGCTACTATAAAACTGATTTTCCTTCAGTAAAATTTCGTAAAAACGAACTTACTTTTTGTGTATTATTTTTCAATTATTCAATCAAATGTTTAAAAGTTAAATACAGTACCGGTATTATATAAAACATTAATGTCGTATTCTTATTCTGAAAATGTTTAGCTATCTTGCCAGGCTAGTATATAATGGCTTCTTTGTTACAAGGCTTATCCTGACGCTCGTGTGTCAGGACATGGACATTATCGATTTGGAAAAAAAAAACTTGGTCAAGCTAGCTTCTACAGGCAGACTGGAGTAGCTGAAGAAGACCTAGGCCTACAT